TATATATATATATATATCTATATCCTTGCATATCAACAACACACGCCGAAATAATGCCTTCACCAGACATAGAATGAACGACTAACTTTTCCCCTCAGAGTGAAGGCGTCTCTGCAATAGGACCATGTTTCCCGCCCCAATGCACGGCTACCGTCTGCGGTATTGCATCCCTAGACACATTAGCTTTAGAGATTATTACCACACACACACACACACACACACACACACACACACACCCACCCACCCAGAGAGAGATCGCGAATAATTGCAGATATAAATGATACACAACCAGGAAAAAAAACCCAGTGCCAGGTTCCAATCTTGTATCGCCCAGTGAATGTCTTATCGCCGCTCTACGCTCAAACAATTTCGCTGCCCGTTGAAGCAACCTTCTCTTCCCTTCAGACATATCCCGTGAACAACTTCGCCGTGTCCACAGCGGGGTGACCAGGCGTTGAGGTCAATGGCGTCGTCATGGGGCTCATCGCCGCTGCTGCGGCCAAGGTTGAATCCGCCACAAACACAGAGGCAGAACCATTGCTGATTCGTCCTCCATCTTGGTTGCCGCAACCGTGGCTCGCCGTGCCGTCGGGGAGGCCGTTGCGCAGCGCCGTGCTTGACGAGGACAACACCGCCTCTGATGCTGCAGCAGCACGTGCCTCCTCGTCCAATCCGTTTATCGACTGCGAGTCGCTTTCACGCCGCGCATTGTGGAAGAGACGCATCCGCTGCGCATGCTCCCGCTCCTCCTCCTCGTGCTCCTGCTGCCTGCGCTGCAACTCCCGCAGCTCGACCGACCTGTGGCAACGCGACACACAGAAAATGATGAGATACAGCACCAGCGCAAAGACTATGAGGATCATGAGCGCGAAGAGGATAGCTACCACAGTATAGGTGGGATAGTTCATTGGCGACTAACTACACGCAATAGAGGATGAGAGGCCACCGCGCGCTCCACCAATGTTATCTACCGCCACACTACAGCAACAGACGGCGTAGAAAGAGAAGCAAACAACGGGGAGTACACCGCGGTGGGGGAGGAGCAGACACACAATGGCAACACCCAACACCACCACCACCACCAGACAAGGGAGATTTGCATTCATAAGTCATTCAATAAAGGAGAAGCAATAAGTCTACATTTGGCTTTGCATCAGGAGCTACGAATAAAACCAAAGCAAAAAACAAAAACAAAGGAGGCGCTGCGATCCCATCCTCAGGAGCCGTCCGCCACCACCACCCGCCGCCAACAACACCAAAGAGCCACTGAAGCAGCGGCTGCGGGTTGCTGTTGATGCTGTTGGCGGCTGCGGGTGGTGGCATCGTATTGGTGGCAACGGAGCACCGAGTGGGCAGCGTCCGCAAGAGCGACCCAAGAGCACACGCCCAGCGTGGCGGCGCACA